AACTGCCGCAATCAAGTTGCGTGAAGAATCGAAGAGAACCGTTATACATGAGTCGTCCATGAGGAATAGCCACGAGTAATCTCTCTGGTGTAAATGGTTTCGACTATCCTCCGCGTTATACAGCTATACATACACATTCCCGGTGCTCCCGTGGCGATTCTCCCTTAAAGGAGGCTTAAAACAAGAGGCTCTCGAGCCGAAAAACGCGAGAAAAAGAGATCCCGCGGTGAGATCTCGAAGAGAATTGAATTGAGCGTCGTAAAAATCTCAGACCACCAGGAATTTTGATTCTGATCTGAATGATGGATGTCCTCGATGTCAGCCAACCTTTCATTTCAGCCTTCAAATTGGTGCTCGCGTTTCCTCGAAAACCTATTACGAGCGGTTCAAAACCAAACCTCTCGTTGCGCAGCGAATCTGTCGATTCGGAGTTTATTTCGAAATTGACTCTCACCTGGTTTGGTGCCGATTTAAACCGAGAGAACTTCCTTAATTTTACCAGAGTTAAAGTTCGCCTGCGAGTTTCGCCCGCCGGTTTTAAATTAAATTCAATTTTGAATTTAGATTTAAAATCGATATCTATCGAGAATCGATAGATATTCGTACTAAAAACTTTAACTCTTCTCGCTACGGCGTTAGTTAGTAACGCCCGCTACGGGCGTTGGCACTTGAGAGTGGAAATGGAAAGAAATAGGGTATAGGGTGAGACGCTTAATTTTATCTATCCGCGAATATATCCGCTCTTAGTGTTTGCTACTTCAAGCGAATGTCGAGCGTGCTAGCCGAGCGATGATATTCCCTTTACTTTGCGGATCAAAGGGCACCCCTTGGCGGTACTTCAACCTGACGTTTTGTCACGTGTTGCGTTTTCCACGTGGAAAACACAACAAATTGCAAACATTTCGCAAGAAACAGAACGACTACTTTTAAGCTCCACTTTAAACAATCTGCATTAAATTCGTATTAAAGAGAGAAAATTCGAGTTAAAAGCTGCGTGCCGCGAATCTCTATTGTCTGTATGACACTTCGGTCTAGACATACCGTACTTTTATTTGTCTCCCAAATAGAACAAAAAAAGGTCATATAAAACTCAAGATGACGATTTCTATGATTTTTTGTTCTACTTGAGATATTACGTCGGCTTCATACGTCCTTTCTATTATTTATCTGGCTATTGCGATAAATATTATTGTATGCTTCGATAGTCGAAAGATAAAATTCGATCTTTGGCTGAGGCACTATTTTTGCAATAAAAATTTCTTACAACTTTCTAATTATTGTTAAGATATTTCTAGCGTATTATTGAATTAGACATGTTGTTTGACAGCCGTTTTTCGGATTCGTAAGTAAACGGTCCGTAATTGCAAACGGAAGCTTAGAAATGATTTATCGAATTTATTTAATTAAATTCGCTTGAAAGATAAAAAATAAACGCATGTATAAAAAATATATTAAAAGATACGTGCGTCTGAGTTCATTGGAATTATAGAAATGTGATTTATGAAATGAAATTTTTATTCTTTATAAATTTAAAATGGGTTTCATAAAAGAATTATGTCATTTTAGAATTATGTCGTTTAGAAAAATATTTCGTAAAACTGAAACTTTTGGATATTTCACGTGCAGCAGCCCTACATTAAAGACAGATTATTCGTTAAACTACATAAATTTCTTAACATCTTTCTTCCCTAATTAATGATGATTATAAGATTTTATAAGAGATTATGAGAGTTACAAAAGTGAATAAATCTTAACAAAATGGCCCAAGTGATGAAAGAATTGAGAAGCTGAATGAAACTGATGAAGGAAAGGCCGTTAAAGGCGAAAAGAATGAGAATAAATAAGAGAACAGCTGATTTTGAAAATAATCTGACTTTTAGCTATTTGCACGTGATTTCAGGGATGTTTCACGTTTTATCCTACTTTCTTTAATCCGATTGAGATCCGGTCTAGTGCGCAGAGGATCGACGAGGTAGTTCCTAAGGTCAGTCGTAAATATCAGATGCATTCGCGCGATTACTTGGCGAGAACTCGGATCTAGAGGAAACTCTTAATTACGACAGTTTTAACTACTTGTTTTCTATTTTCGTTCTCGTCCTAAAAAATAATAATTGCTACGCGTCAAGATGGTAGGCATTAAGGCGTTCGCAAATTTAAATCAAAAAAGTTTCGTAACTTATTTTGTTATTCAAGTTAATTTAAATTTGTATTTGAAATGAAGTTAATAATTCGAAGAAATGTAAATTATATACATTTCGAGAATTACGATACTTTAAAAGTATATGTAGAATTCTATTATTAAATGCCGGAAAAAAAATTTAATTTATGCTTCAAGAATTAAAATGCTTTGAAAATTAAAATTTTGTCATAAACTTTAAATCAATTTTTTCTTAACAATTATTTTGTAGTAATCATATTTATATTAATAAATATGATATTATATTGATAAATTCTTAAGCTTCACAAAGCGATCTTGATAATGAAATTCTATAATTTCTCGTTTTTAACAAAACAAAAAATAATCAATTTTAATTAAATTAAAATGAATGCTAGCCGAATATAATAGAAGTTTAGTTTCACCCACATTTCCCTTTCTCTTAAAGTTTAATTTTTCAAAACAATTTAACAAAATACAGATATGCACAGATTGTATTGTAACGAAGTTTATTTTATAAATGCATTGCAAATTTCAAAATAAAATTAATGGCAAAAGGTCGATGAGAAAAGTAATGAACTGTGTGATCTTTCACAATTTTTCACATCTTAAGAATTAAATGCGCTCTCTTTTCGTTTGTCATCTCCGAGCTAACAAGACCAAGGCCTCGACCAGAATGGTAGACGCTAATGGAACTGCCATAGTTAGAAGATACCATGGGCGATGTTAGCAGGAGCTAAAACGGAGGAGAGGAGGATAAGTGAGAAAAATTGAACTTACTTTGAGGGCCTCCTCGTGGGTAACCGCGCGGAAGGGTGTGCCGTTCACCTCCAGGATGGTGTCTCCTGGCCTGAGTCCAGCACGTTCAGCTACCGAACCCTCCTCCACCCTCGAGATGTAGACGCCCACCCCTGAAAACAGTTCGCAGACCTTCATCAGACCGATAAGCTGCCTCGCCGTTGATTCAAGATTCGATGTCGACTAAGATCTTCCGCCCATGGCGCGACCAAGCCGCACGAACGAATTTTACAAAACAATCCCTCCCCCCTCCCCCCACCCCCTCGTGGTGAAGGCGCGAATGATATTCTATTTTTAATAGAAAAGAAAATTGTATGTACTCTCAGTGCGTAAATGATATCATTTACCAAAATCTTTTAATTTTAGAAAATTATTTCTTTAACTTTAAAATGGAACGTATCAAATATATCTTTGTCGAGTTTTTTTGTCAAGTAAGTAAATTAACATTTATATAATGAAAAACATCTTAGAACAACGTTTTAACAGTAGATTTTTGTGAAAAAGTGGAATTTAATACGGAATTTATGCGTAATACACAAAATACCTCTATCTCAAATCAAATTATCGCTTTTATTTGATACAAATAAATATAATTTAATTTACGAAGAAGACGAGGGACCTGTTGGCTGGCATGTGACAAACAAGTTAACTTTTTGGCAAACTTCCCCGACATACTTGTTGAATAGGACGTAATAAACGCCATGAGCAGAAATATCGTGAAAATAAGGGAGGAAAATGAAAAACGGAATATGCAGATGCATCAAAATGTGAGTATCGGTGAACGGTGAATATGTGTCTCCATGTAACATGATGCACGTGTCCACGAGTGTATATTTGTGACAGAGGAAGAAAGGCATGCACAGAGTTTTTTCGAGTTAGAGTCAAGAATCGAAGTGCGATCGCATCGCATGATGTGCTCGCGTATGCAGTTACGAGATATCGACATATTACACATTGCGTACGTGCGTGTGCGTACGTGTATGTGTATATACATATTGTGTATGTGTGTATACATATTTGATATATCTCTAAAGATTATTTTTCACTTCACCGAAAAAAAAAAAAAAAAAAAAAAAACCGAAAAAAAATAATCGGTAGCAGCTGATAGAAATTCTAAGCCGTATCGCAGATTAATTGATATAATATATGAATATCCGAACGAAATTACGTGAGAACAGCGAAATTATCTATAGAATTAACAAAAAAAAAGAAAGAGAGAGAGAGAGAGATGTTTTTATGATGTAAAACGAAAGCGAGATTCTGTCGAACTTGATTAATTTTCAGTTTGTTTGCTGTCACCGTTGCTATTGCAAATTTGAGGCGTTAATTTCTTAAAGTAGTATTCTAAAAGTAGCATTCTAAAAGTAGTATTCTATATGTATAAATATATATAAATCTTTATACGTATTTAGAATTAATCTTTTATGAGAAATAATTATCTCTAAGTAATTAATGCTTATGAATAACAAAATTATTTGGATACGATCGATATTAATCAAATATATAATCTCGATTATGAATTTTAACACAGACAAACAAATAAAACATAATATATATACACGGAAAGAACAGTTTTGCTTCAATATCAAAAAAAATTTGACAGATTTGAAAATAATTTTGTTAGGCTCAAATTGATTGCCAGAGTATCAAAAGTTTTTCTGGTATTATTCTTAAGTATTTTACATAATTACTTTCCGTCCAACAAAATTATTTCCACATTTGTCTCTGATAACATTTTTCGCAAAGTCTTTCCATGTCCATAACTTAAACTTTTATGTGGCAAAAATAAAAACATATAGGAATGCTCTTCCGTGCGAACGCTTAAATTACTTTTCGGAGGCGTGTTCACTGAATTGTGAAACATTCAATGTATATGTGTAAGCATGTGTGTGTGTGTGTGTGTGCGTGTGCGTGGCGAAGCAAGAGGAAACTTGATGACACATCGAATAGCACGCTCGAACTGCGTTTATGCAGTTCATGTGGCGTCGTTTGTTGCGTGTTTGTGCTGCGAGCAGATTATCATCTCCGTCTGGTCCGGTCTGGAGGTTGACATAATTTCTCAAACAACACGACAGAGTAAATCCAACGTCGAGATGAAAGTAGTCAGCGTAGTTTACTTTTCGTGTCACCAAGGAGAATTAATCGACAACTTCACGAACGTTTATTTGCCATTGAATATCTTATCTTATTACTTGCTTGCCTCCAATTATTGCAATATGCAGAATGTTTCGTGCAAACTAAACTTTTCGAGATTTTTTTTCTGTACTTCTTTTTTAATCATATTATATTTTTAATGAAGTTTCTGATAAGGAAAATAAAGTTGATGCAATAAAAATTTGATTGGAGTTAAGAAGTAACGTTTTCGGCAGAATTACGCGCAGAATTGAAGTTGAGTTGAAGAGAAGCTTGTCTTAAATTACCAAAGAAATAGAGAAGTTTAATTATTCTCCAATCATAATTAATCGCAATCTAACTCTTAACTGTTCAAATTTTTAATTTTGAATTGAGCTTAAGTTTTTAAATGTCCCGGCACTTAAGTCTAGATTTTAATAGAAATTTTCATATAAAATAGCTGAAAATGTCACGTATTATATATAATAAAAGTGATTTTTAGAGAAAGGAATCCGAGTTGCAGAAAATATTTATCCTCGTTCAATTTAGTATTGGTATTTGTAGTAACGAAACACTTAAGTGCACGGTGCTGCTCCGTTATTATTCCGAACGTTCCGCTTTACGCGGAGCTTTGCGGCTGACGGAAGTGTATACGAGTAAACTTTCCTCTACGCACTCATACGCTACACGCATATGCATTGTACACTCATGCAACGAGCTGTCGGCGTGCCAAGTCTAGAGAGAGGAAGTAGCTTTCTGACAGATACTCGTGGTGCGATGGCGTTATAAACTCCTCCTTTCTCTCGTTGAGTTACCTGACTGCGCTTCTGGTACAGCGAAACAGAAAATAAGAATGACACAACGCAAGTTGGCTTATTCTCAATCTTAGCCGGTCGGTCGCGGACGATGGCGAAATCCCCAGGAAGCTCGCGTCAAGTTCAACGAGCTTCCCTCAACGAGCGGCGGAGATGAGAAAGCAGCGGTGAGAAAAATTTGATTAGACTTAAGAAATAGAGAACCACCGGCGCTCTACCGCTGGAGGAGCACGATGTTTATCGGTAATATTGTTAATAACGAAATAATAATAAATAATAAATAATAAAAATGTAAATTATTATCCGTTTAGACTGTGAATAAATTTTAAGATTTTTTTTCTTATGTTTTCAGAAGCTTCAAAAATTCCGGTCAGTTTTCAGATAAAAGATATTTATCGCGATATATCGGGATATATTTATTTCGATACGGGATCTAAAAATCTCGGCGATAGAAACCTTTACGTTCGAGGCGTGAAAACTCGATAGTGCGATAAGAAATTGGTGACACGAGCGAGCGCATTTTTCTCCGGGACTCCCTGGGAGTTTCAGCATCGCCTGAAACGGATTTCAGTAGTGCGATCCACGCGCGAGGCAAGGCACGGCACGGGTCTCTCGAGGGCCGCCTTTTCGGATTTGGGGGTTTCACGCTCGAATTCTCGGCGATGATATAAAGCTCGTCAAGCGATGGTGATATTCAGCGCGCATGTGTGCAGCATCGCGTGCGTGAGATTAAGCGTGAGATTTAACGCTCGCAGTCTCGCCAATAACATCATTATAAGTTGTCGAATTAATACGTATCTGATTTTGCTATCTACTACAAAGCGACGTAACACGTAGAAAGAAAATACATTTTTTGTTTTTAAATACATAATATTAAAAAATATATAAATAATTTTAATAATAATAAATTTTAATAATTTTATAATTGTTATTTTAAATAATCTCAAAAAATAAATAAATAAATAAATAAATAAATAAATTGTATGCAATGAAATAATTCTATTTCATTAACTATTTCATAAACTATTTTTAATTATTTTTCCTTAATTTTGCGATGATTAAAGGAAACTCACTGTATGCAAGTTAGTTTAATGGTTTCTTAAATTAGGCTTAATAAATATTACATCGCGAGGTAGTCTAATCTATTTTTGAGACTGCAAGAATTAAGAGGCTGGAGACCGTGAAACCGAATCTTGTCGCTTTTACTTCAACGACTTTAAGGCGACCCTCCCGCGCATTCTTCCCCTCGTCATGTGGATTTTACAAGATTTTTCTCACATATCAGTGGAGGAACCTTTCTGGAAAACGAATATTCCGAGGGCATGACTTTAAAATGCTTCAAAGATCTTAATATCCTTGAAAAAGTCAGGAAAAGAAAATATTATACAAAAACAAACTATTTTTTAAAATATGACAATTTTTAATCACCCTTAATGTTATGAATCATCTTCTCTATTTTGTAAAAAGATTAAAACAGTTTGCCGTTTGTAAAAATTATTTCCACTATTCATTGTAGTATAAAGAATCGATGTTCCGGTATTATTATACTAATAAAAATAAAATAATATGAATATTTGTACAAAAGAGTTGATTAACAGGTAAAAATAAACGATTGTTAAATAATGCATGAAGCGCTTTTACTTTTTCCGATAAATATATTCTCCAGAAAGATTAGGCAAAACGACGAACTCCGCTTGTCGGATTTTCGGCGCAATCGCGTTTCGATGGATCGATAACTCGTTATCACGTAGACCATCGAACGGAGCAAAACCGATCGGAGTTTTACCCTCACGAAAGGGGTAAAAAAACGATAAGAGGAAAGGGGAGAGTCTGTGCAAAACGCGCTCCTTCTCTACCGAATTCGCGTGCAAACAATCGTCACTGCAGTGGAAAACGATGCTTAACGATCGTGAAAATGCCCCCCCCCTCCCTCCCGCCCCGCTTTCGAGTATCGTCCTCACGACGAAAGAATTCATTTTCCGCCATCAAAATCAATTAGAATCCACACGTATTATATAAATACAAATGAACACTCAAAACCAATTTAATTATAGAACGGAGAGAGAAAGAGAGAGAGAGAGAGAAGAAAAAAAATGAGAAAGATAGTAATTCTTACTTATAATACTTCTAGGTCACAATTATTGATTCTATTATTGAATCGTTAATTTAACAATCTTCTGTAAGAATTCCACACATTTTTTTAAGAAAAAAAAAAAGTACTTAACTAGATAAATCGTACTTTTTATGATCTTAAGTACACATGAAATTATAAAAAAAAAAAAAACACAACTTATTTTCACGAGCAATTTTAAATGGAAAAATATTTCTCTTATATTGTCGCGTTTTTTTTTTCCTGAGTATTAAGGAATCACGAGAGCACCAAATATTTCGTCGCGAGGACAAGGCGTATGCGCAAGGACGATTTGCCGATTTACGATGCTGAAGCACGTACAAGCGCAAGGTGTCGAGGCACGATGAATGCCAACCGAGTGATGACTTAGGCACGCAGCACGAGAAAAAGACAGTAATCAAAGAAACGAGTTGGCAACGATAAGTGTGACAAGCGAGTCATCTGGCAAGCCGATTGAATCGTAAAACCTTGATATCGCAAATATAACAAGATACGAGGATTAAGCGTTAGATTAGATACCGATAGATCAACGAACTGTTAAATGTTGATCGCGTCTATTCTTAGATAATCGTACGCGGGAAACCGTACCTTCTAATAATATCATTATTGAAACAACTTGCAAATTTCTGTTTATCTAGAATCTGTATTCAAGAATTTCCACTTATCGAGAAGGTAAGCAGAAAATTCTTCATCGGTCGTCGGAAATATCGCCGTGAGAAGTGATAGCGAAATAACATCAAATTGGATATCCAGGAGGTTGATTCAAAGAAATTCAAATTTTATAGATCTCCATCGTACGAACGATCGTAATTTTCACTTTTCTAGAGAGAGAGAGAGAAGCGACGTTTCACAACGGATAAAAATTTACAACGTCGCAAGTTTAGGGCACCGATGCGGCACCAAGTTGGTATCCCGCGGTTTACTCCGCGTCGGAGAAATGTATCTTCGAGTTTATCTTAGGATGTGTTCTCGAGCGATTTCCCGATTCCGCGCGAAGCAAATTTTTTAGTTGAACCGGGGGAGGGGGGAGAAAAATCCCGAGTCGCCGGGATCGACCTCTTTACAGTTAGACGACCCGTAGAATCTCGCGGCGGCGGCGGCGGCGGCGGCGGCGGCGGCGGCCAGACGACTCGCATTGCGGAGCAATTCAGCGGCGCCGTACGTGAGGCGTAAAATTCTTTGACCTGAGGAGTGCGAAGAACTAAGTAGAGACTTGAGTATAGAGCATAAACCGCTGCTCGGGAGAAAGTACCTCGTTCTCGAGGCACGAAGTACGGCGACGGGGGTAGCCTGAAGGTACTGCGGATCTCACCTGCGTCCTTGCCACCCTTCACGCAGATGCCAAAGCCATGGTGAGAGTCCGGCGGATCTCTCGTCATGGTGATTGTCCTTACGGTGAGCTCCTGTAGACTGAGCGGCTGCGCGATCGGCGACGTGGGCGGATTCCCGACACTCCCGACCTGCTGCTGCTGCTGCTGCTGCTGCTGCTGTTGCTGCGACTGCTGCGACTGTTGCGATTGCTGCTGCTGCTGCTGCTGTGCGAGCCGCTGGACGCGGTTGGCGTGCCGCGAACCGTCGTCACGCTCGCCGGACTGGACGCCGGCGATCTGCGATCTCCTTGACGTCGTTCCGAGACGCTGTTACCGAACAACCTAGGAAAAAAAATTAAATCATTATTTAATTGTGTTTTATATACATTGCTACTAGCGATTAAAAATCTCGTAACGAGAATTTTGTATTTTGCATTAGATTCTTGGTATAATAAATTTTATATAATAAACTTGGAAAGAAACAGTACCAGAACGGTACCAGGTGTTTCAAGAAAAAGAAAAATTCTCGTATGTAAAAAAAAAAGCTGCAAGCGATATAAAATGAATTATATATTTTGAAGAAAAAAAAGGTGTGTCGTGTATCAGACAAATCTACGAGGGTGATTTCCGTAACTTGATTTCGATTCTACACCCCGGACGTATTCAGTCATGGAAGGGCGGTCTATCGGATGTTGTCATCGTGGGGAAGGGGAAGCGCCGTACCTGAGCACCTGTTCCGGGGAGATGGCACCGGTGCCGCCGGTGGTTCCGTGACCCCGGTGCGACCTGTAGGGAGTCGCATGCGAGGAGTGATGATGGGGCGCGCTGGGCGGCCTCTCGACGATGGTGTAACTGG